GAGGGTGCGCGAGGAGAGTCTCTCCTGTGGCATCTTCATCGTATGACCAAAACCATCGCAAATGTGATTTCTGGACCTGAAGAAAAAGCGACTCAGAACCGAGGACGCTGGAATTGTAATGTTGCCGCCTATGGACTTAGTCGAACTCGTCACGAGAGCAATCCATCGAAGAATCCTCATTTTTCTGTCGCTTCTATCCAGGCTTGCGTTTTTTAAGTCAATACCCTGCACTCACTTTACGAGAAAGCGTGTCTGATTTACGTCCTGTCGATATACCTCACTGTTTCCAAGAAGGCTTCATTAGCATAAACCGGAAAGCACTTATACATAAGGAACTGCACACGGTGACTGAAAAATAAGATTCTGAAATGCTATATGCTGTTCCGTGTGGAGTAAACTGTTACAAGCTCAATGAAGCCCCGAGTATGACAAGGAAGACTATTACTTGACACTCCAGTCGAACCTCGTGATGACCGGCTAGCGCTTGGTGTCTAACTTCATACTCGCCAGTCAACTGAATCGTTTATCATGAATCAGTTTGACTCCATACAGTTACTATGGAGACACTGAAGTCCTCGAAAAACCAAGATGGTCGTCTTGTTGTTATTTACGTACCTTCCCGTGAAAATTCTGTCTCACTATCGTAGAGTTAACAAGAGAAAGGTACGATCAGAAGTTCTACAAGTTTGAAAATGATACACTGCGTCATACTCTATAACACAGTGCAATGCTTTATTCCATTCTGACCACACTGTCAGATCTGTTCCACCGTACACTTAAGTTGTAACTCTCACTGAACGAGTTCAGAGTGTGACAGATACTCAGTGTTACTGAATACCTTCACGCAAATCTGATCATCGCAGATGTGACATCACTAACGATGGTAAGGGATACCTTATCGCAGCGTATCTTCCTGCCCTGTCGGTAACGCTAATGTAACGACGGCCACCGCCGACCTGAGGTAAGCGTTTCTGGTGCTTTGTGCTGGAAGCAACCATCTATTGGTCAGCAACCTCACGCTCACGCTGGCTTGTAACAGATGGATACGGTTGGCCGTTGTAGTGTTGTGCTAGGTGTTGATCATTGCATACACGATTGAATACTCCCCCTGCATTTGAAACTTGCAGATTACAGGATGACGACCTGTTCTATGCGACTTTCTGAGAGACAGACAACTAGGCGACTAATCGATTGAGGTTGATACGACTGCATCGCCATTACCAAAAACATTATGATTTGTGTGGAATGTGTTTACAGCGAAGAATTTACGTTTTTGACAACTGCCAGGCGACTGACTAGATCCCATGCAGGCTCAGCACGCAAAAATCACCTAAACGATACCTGATTCCCTCAAACAAGCCCGTCATATAAAACGGACCATGTCATTGAAGAAGATTCTCCTGTTCCTTCAACGTATTTACGCGGCGTAGTCGCACAGTCTCTTTGCATTTAGGGGACTGCCGACGGAGCAGTTTAAGCAA